CATATTGGTCTTCCACTTTCTCTGCTGAATGGTAGGTAATCTGTTCCATCATCTGCTAGTCTTACTGTCTTTAAGACTCTCCTCACCTTCCCATCATTTCCTTTCATCTATGAAGGCCCAGTAACCCTTCAAATCACATCCTAAACATCATTTCACGGGCAAGCTTTCTCTGACAACACACATCCAATCAGATGCTTACTCCACATTGCTTTCAAAGTACCCTGGATTTCTCCCTCAGAGCTCTTCAGCTTAATATTATGCTGTGTGTAATTCATTTACCTATGTCACACACATAACAAGATAAAATCATATCTATCTTATTCTTCACTATACCTCTAGCAACTGGCACATGACGAATAGTTGGTGAGTAGGCCGGGCATGGTGGCTCACGCCCATAATCCCAGCACTTTGGGAGACTGAGGTGAAAGGATTGCCTGAGCCCATGGGCTCAAGACCAGCCTAGGCAACTTGGGGAGACCTCATCTCTACAATGAATAAATAAATAAAAATTAGCCGGGCGTGGTAGCGCACGCCTGTAGTTCTGGCTATTTGGAAGGCTGAGACGGAAGGATCGCCAGAGCCCAGCAGGTCGAGGATACAATGGCCAGGAGTGTGCCACTGCACTCCAGCCTAGGAGACAGAGTAAGACTCCAACTCAAAAAACAAAAACAAAAACTGAAAATCCTATGTCTCATTTGAAACTTGTCAAGCTTCTGATCTATCAGTTGAGAAGAGTCAGCAATCACGAGTGCATTCTTCCATATCATCTTCGAACAACAGACTGGACAATAAATTACATATTATTAATGTAGGAGGAAGAAAACAAGAGTGCACAATCTGCTCAAATAGAAAAACACCAGGTGGAAGACACCAAAAAAATTACTATTACACAACATGTATCAATGAACCTGCAATGCATGCTGGTGACTATTTCATATGTTATTGCACGTTAGAAAAATATAAGATATAGAACTTTGATTTTTTTGTTATAAATAAGTTCCTCAATGTCCAAAATTCCATCATAAGACATATATCATTACAATAAGATAATTGATTCCAACACTATACTATTTAATATGAGGTGATCCATTTTTCACTATTTCATTAAAAAGTGAGGTTGAAGCCGGGCTCGGTGGCTCAGCCTGTAATCCCAGCACTTTAGGAGGCTGAAGTGAGTGGATTGCCTGAGCCCACGGGTTTGAGACCCACCTGGGCAACTTGGCGAGACCTCATCTCTACAATAAATTAAAAAATTAGCTGGGCGTGGTTGCACGCGCCTGTAGGTCCAGCTACTCGGAAGGCTGAGGCGGAAGGATCGCCGGAGCCCAGCAGGTGAGGCTGCAGTGGCCAGGAACGGCCACTGCACTCCAGTCTGAGCAACAGAGTGAGACTCCAACTCAAAAAATAAATAAATCAAATCAAATCAAACCAAATCAAAAATTAGCTGGGCATGGTAGCGCACACCTGTAGTTCCAGCTACTTGGAAGGCTGAGGCGGAAGGATCGCCAGAGCCCAGCAGGTCGAGGCTACAGTGGCCGGGAGCGGCCACTGCACTCCAGTCTGGGTGACAGAGTAAGACTCCAACTCAAAAAAAAAGTGTGGTTGAGTTGCTGGTAGGTGATCTGCAAGATGTATCTGAGTGCAAAGGGTTAATGTACTACCATTAACATCCTCTTTTACAGACCTTCAGGAAAGGGGAACATAAAACTAGGATAGGCTCCACTCCCCAAGAAGACACAGAAAAGGGAAATGTTTTCTTTTCTTGTGATTCTGGCAAGCAACAACAAAAACAGTACCCTAACAGTATTCTATTTTTGTTGTTGGTGGTGCAAGTGACTGTTAAGAGCCATTTATTTTAATTGTCCCAGTCACAGCTCTCCCTCTGTCCCCCACTCCTGTCTGCTCCTACCTGCTAAGGAGAACACCCTCACACTGCTCCCCATCCTCCCCACATTACCTCATTACTCTGCTATACTTGGCTGCCAGTCCAGCTGCCTTAGAATGTCAGAAGGGGGTCATTTTCAGTTTTCCTGTCTGACTGCAGGGTATAGAACGGACAGCCCTAAGTGCTGCTTTCTGTGCAAATGTTTTTTGATTACAAATCTCTGACTAGGCTCGAAATATTTTATAGAAGACAATATTCTTTTCAACAAACATTTTAAAAATGTACAGTATTGCTGTTTGTTTCTGCCTTCCCCTCCCCCATCCCTGCTTGTGCACCCTCCCCCCACTGCCCCTCCCTGGCAGTTAAGCCCCACCCTGACAGCCCCTGTTTTTCCTGGTTGTGTTTTGGAAGGTACCTGGCACCCCCAGAGATTCAGCTTTATGGCTGACAGGCAACAATAGCAGGGACTTCACCAATACCCTTGGTAACCTATAGTATTGGTCTCTGTCCTTCTAACGGTAATTTCCAGAGACACTAATATGTCTGGTTCTGCAAGGCTATTAAGGAAGAGTCTAAAGACTACATACCTGACATCAGCACATGAAACATGACCCTCTGAACGTACATGAAACAAATTAAATTACAGATATGGCATATTCACTTCATCTCCTACATTACTCAACCAGTCTGGTCAGAACAGATGCAGAATGAGTCAATGAAACCTCTTCTTTCTCCCTGTCACCACACTGATTTCCAGTGGCACAATTATGGCTCACTGCTGCCTTGACCTGCTGGGCTCAAGCTATTCTCCTGCCTCAGCCTTCTAAGTAGCTGGGACTATAGGCATGCACCACCACACCTGATAATTTTTTATTTTATTTTTTTAGAGACAAAGTCTCACTATGCTGCCGAGGCTGGTCTCAAACTCCTAGACTCAAGCAGTCCTCCTGCCTCAGCCTCCCAAAGTGCTGGGATCACAGGCCAGAGCCACCACGCCCAGCCACAGTAATGGGTTCTTGACTAAATATATCCTATTCCTCAGAATTTAACTGGTGTCAACTCTTACCTGGCACTTCCACTTTTCCTTAAGCTAATCTGCTTTTCCTGGCTCTCCTCTATCAAGTCTGGCACACTCATGCCGTAGGGCTTTTGCATTTGCTGTTTGGTCTGCATGGAATGCTCCTCCCCCAGAAATACATTAATTCAAAGTACTCTCACCTTGTTCAGGTCTTCAACCAAATGACACCTTCTGGTTGATGCCTTTCCTAAGTACCCCATTTAAATGTGTAGGCTGGGCTCGGTGGCTCAGCCTGTAATCCCAGCACTTTGGAAGGCCAAGGAGAGTAGACTGCCTGAGCCCGTGGGTTCGAGAACAGCCCGGGCAACTTGGCGAGTCCTCATCTCTACAATAAATCAAAAATTAGCTGGGCATGGTAGCGCGTGCCTGTAGTTCTGGCTGCTTGGAAGAACCGCTAGAGCCCAGCAGGTCAACACTGGCATGCCCATGAGTATGCCACTGCACTCCAGCCTGAGCAAGAGTGAGACTACAACCCCCCCACCCCAAAAAAACCTAAATGTGCAGACTGTGAACACATTCCCTATCTCTTTTTCTAGTTTCAGGTTTCTACATAAAATTTAGTCATCTGACATTCCAAATATTTCCTTATTTTTAAAAATCTGGTGGTGGCGTGTGCCTATAATTCCAGCTATATGGAAGGCTGAGGCTGAAGGATCACGTAAGCCCAGCAAGGCGAGGTTGTGGTGTCCATTAGCATGCCACTGCACTCCATCCTGGACGACTTTAACTCAAAAAACAAATAAATAAATAAATAAAATAAAACAAAATCTGCCCTGCCAGTAAGCTTCATGAGAGAACATATTTTGTCTATCATGCTGACTGCATCCCAATATCCGAAATAGGGCCTTCCCAGTCTGGGCAACTTGGCAAGACTTTGTCTCTACAATAAATCAAAAAATTTGATCACCTGAGCCCAGCAGATCAAGTCTGCGGTGGCTGAGAGAGTGCCACTGCACTCCAGCCTGGGCAACATTGAGACTCCGACTCAAATAAAATAAAATAAGGCCTGGGAGAGTAGGCACTAAAATATCTTGATTGAAAGCACGATGGGCCGAGCGCAGTGGCTCACACCTGCAATCTCAGCAATTTGGGAGGCGAAGGAGAGAGGATTGCCTGACCTCAGGAGCTGGAGACCAACCTGGGCAACTTGGCAAGACCTCGTCTCTACAATAAATCAAAAAATTAGACAGGCGTTGTGGCATGCGCCTGTGGTTCCAGCTACTTGGAAGGCTGAGGCGGAAGGATCACCTGAGCCCAGCCGGTCAAGGCTGCGGTGGCCCTGAGTATGCCACTACACTCCAGACTCCAACTCAAACCAAAAAAGCACGATGGAACTCTTTATTGTCCAAGCCACTGAAACAGCACTCTCGGTTGGAGTAGGCAGGCTTCAATCTTGAGTCTCAAAAAAAAACTCGGTCCAAGGGCTGGAACTTTTTCTTCCAAGTTACCCTAGTCCGTCCAGAAAGCTAAAGTAGCGGACCCCTGAGACTGATGCTCCCACTTTCTTTGATCTTTCTCATCTCCAAGCTTCTGTTTCCTTGGTTCCTCCTGACCATTAACCTCTTCAACTGCCATTCTCTTAATACATGTAAAACAGCCTAAATTCCGATTTCGAAAATTCTAATACCTTCTGCACAGATCCCTCCCTCCTCAGCCGTCATCTACATTTTTCTCCTAACCTTCTCTCATAAATCCAACTCTTTCCCCTAGTCCTGCCACAGCCATTTCTCGATCTTTTCCACTCTTTCCATTCCCTCAACTTACCCACTCAGTCTGTCTTCCCGCCCCAGGTTCGGATCTATCTAAACCTCCTAAACCCCGGGGGTCTTTCTACTTCAATCCCAGTCTCTACTCTATTCGCCAACTCCTCCCACTCACCCACCGCAACACCCCCGTGCGTGAACAAACATCAGATCTCCCTCCCTAGACCGAAGTCAGCCCCTCACCAGCCCAAAACCCAACAATGAGGAAACCGGGTGACCCATAGGTTAGGTGACCCATGACTACAACCGGCCTGAGAGATGTTAAGTGACCAACCTCTGATCCCGCCAGAACTCCTGTACGACGTGGGCCTGTACAACCCCAGAATCTTAAGCCACCCGCAGCGCGAAGTCCCTAGAAACGCAGATGTTACGCTCCCAGCGCGCCGCCATCTTGTGAGGCCATCTCGCCTTGTGATTGGACAAATTACTCTCGCGCGACCTGTAGCTGATCCTGAAAAAAGAAGAAACTGTCACGAGACTTGGAGTGTTGGGGGAGGCCTTACTTAAGGCGGGGGGCGTGGTAACAAGCGGAATCTTGCAGCATGGCTCGAGCGAGGTATTTTTTCGAATTTGCTAGGGGACTTGTTAAAAAAAAGAAGGTAGCTTTCTAGGCCCCACTGCAGACTTAATAATCACACTTTCTGGGTTTGGGCGGGTAATATGAAGATGAGAGAGGGACACGGGTTTTTGGCGTGAAATTAGCGCTAATTGGGCAACAGGTCTCTCCTCGGGGCGATGTCCCACTTAATCATCATCGATGAACCTGTAAGTTGGGGAAGAGTAGTTTCATTTACAGAGGAAGAACTAAGGGTCAGACATATTAAGTCGTTTGTTCGAGATCTAACATTCAGATGGCATCAGGTCCACGTTCTTTGTATTTCCTGGTCAGCCTCCAGCGGGAAGCATTTTCTTTTTTGAGTTGGAGTCTCACTCTGTCGCCCAGGCTGGAGCCACTGCAGCCTCGCCTGCTGAGATCCGGCGATCCTTCCAGCTCAGCCTTCCGAGTAGCCGGAATTCCAGGCATGCGCTACCATGCCCGGCTGATTTTTTTATTTATTGTGGAGATGAGGACTCGCTGCCCAGGCGGGTCCCGAACCCGCGGGCTCAGGCAATCCACTCACCTCAGCCTCCCAAAGGCGCGGGATTACAGGCTGAGCCACCGATCCCGGCTGCATTTTCTTTTTTTAAGTTCAAGTCTCTTATCGCCCAGGCTGGAGTGTAGTGGCACGCTCACGGCCACTGCAGCCTGGACTTGCTGAGCTCAGGTGATCCTTCCACCTCAGCTTTCCAAGTAGCTGGAACCACAGGCATGCGCTACCACGCCAGCTAATTTTTTGATTTATTGTGAAGACGAGATCTTGCCAAGTTGCCCAGGCTGGTCTCGAACCAATGGGCTAAGGCAATCCTCTCGCCTTCACCTTCCAAAGTGCTAGATTACAGGAGTGAGCCACCACGCCAGGCCTGGCAGCTCTATTAATGCGTTTCATTTTCTTCTCAACTAGGTCATTCTCATTTTTACCCTCTGGTAAGTGGAGTGAGCACTGATCTCCTCATTTTGTTACTGAGACAGGAAGGTTAATGACTTTCAAAAGGCATACAACCAGTAACAAAGCAGAGCTAAAGACAGCCTCTGAATTTAGTACCTTTCCATTAAAAAAAATAAAAGTTGGCCAGGCGCGGTGGCTCAAGTCTCTAGTCCCAGCACTTTGGGAGGCCGAGGCAAGAGAATGTGAAAGCTTCTGGAAACCTTGCCATAAAACTTGGAGACAGCAGGGCGTAAGGAATGGAGACCTCAGTTTTATGCAGAAGTGAGTGTGCCAGTAGTCATCCAATAAAAGCTGAGGAGGTGTTTTTATTATCCATTATCATAACCACTCCAAAAGGTATGACTTAAAATAACTACCATTTTGTTTGCTCAGTTCTGCAATCTGGGCTGTGATTAGTCCAGCCATCCTGCCGGCCTTGCCATCGGTCATAACATCAACCAGGGGTTGCTTCTGCTGAAACAGCTGAGTCTCTCTCTGTAGTCTCAAGTTCGTTCCTTCTCCATGTGGTCTTTCCACATAATTTGACCAGCAGAGTGGGTGGACTTCTTACATGTTGACTCAGGGCTCTCAAAAGAGCAAAAGTGGAAGCTGCTAGACCAGGGGTCCTCAAACTTTTAAAACGGGGCCAGTTCACTGTTCCTCAGACCGTTGGAGGGGCGGACGATAGTTTAAAAAAAAAAAAAAACTATGAACAAATTCCTATGCACACTGCACATATCTTATTTTGAAGTGAAAAAACAAAACG